AAGATTTGATAATCCTTTGTTGCTGTTTGTTTTCATCAGTGTTTATAGGCTGGTTTGAGTCATTTTGAGGCTTTTTTTCTTTGCTGAAAGTCTGACCGGAAATCAAAAAGTCCCAAAAAGATGTGAAGAAAGGAAACTTTAAGGTGTCAAATCAACTGGTGGTTTTTAGGAGGTGAGAAGAAGGGAGGCGAGTTTTCATGTTGCACCAGGATCATCCTCTCGGCACTGACATCCTTTATTTTCTTCTTCTTCTTTTAAATAAAAGAAGGTTGTCAAAGAATACTTTAAAGCTAATTTAATGAGATTTAACCTGAGGACTTGTAGCAATTCGTTCTAAAGTCCAGCAGCCCTGATGGCCAACGAGCCTCCTGCTGACAAGATGAATGAATGAAGCTGCTGCCGAGGCTCATGTGTTATGAGCAGGTTCATATGTGGCCAAAAGGTCCCTTAATTCAGTTGGAGCAAGACCATAAATGAACCTCATAGGGCTAAAACTAAAACAGGAAAGATTTGTTCATGTGTGGCTGCATGTGGGTAACTATGGGGGGTGACTGTTTTCTTTTTCCTGGTAAATTATGTCTTTTTGTGGTAGTTTTGCATGTGTTCATAATAATTGTACATCTGTCTGTGGCCCATTTGTGTCTTTTTGGGTCATTTTACATCTGTTTACAGTTGTTTCACATTTTTATTAATGTAAATTTGTGGTCGCTTTGTGTCTTTTTGAGGTCATTGTGCATCTATTTATGGTCATTTTCTTTTTCTTTGTGTTGATTTTGTCTGTTCATAGTTCTATTATATCTGTTTGTGGGCTTTTGCGACTTTTGTGTCACTTTGTGGTCTTTTTGCATTGGTCATGTTGTCTCCATCTCTTCATGGTCATTTTTCACCATTTTACTTTATTTCTTTGGTCATTTTGCATCTTTTGTTCAGTTTCTGGCAGCTGGCTGCTGTTGACCACATGCATATTGGAGAACGTTGAACTTGATCGTGTCCACACCGGGCGTAGGTGGATATTACACGTGCGAGTGAGAGCAAGGACATGTGGTCACCATTGGGCTCCACGGTGAGGGGCGTGGCACATTCATTCGGATCTTTAGCACGTGAGCTACCACGAGGTCTATTTGAGTACGTGTTGCTGACAGTTCAAGTCTGTGTGACATTTGCTGGTGTGAAGTTAAGCCTGTACTGCATTGACTCTCCAGTTTGGCTGCTCCACCCTTGAAAGTGTGGCACGTTGTTGGCTGTGTTTTACTGACTCTGACTGTTATATGGCAGGTTTAATATAACTGTAATATATATTTATATATTTAAAAAGCATCATACTAAACCAACAGTTGTTTGAGACCATTTAAATGCACTTGGCAAGCCTCATGCAATTTAAAGGTCTACAACTGTCCTCAGATCAGACTGGATATCGTACATGTGATGGATTATCTCTACACTTGGTAGAATGACTGTATTAACTTCAGGGGGGGGTGTATTTTGGGGGGGATGCTCATCGTACATGCTACACTACTGTACCCTGGTACTTTTCATTTAATTTAGAAAAACTCAAAAAGTAAAAGGGAGTTTGAATGTATAACACCATACATACAATATTTATTTTTAAGCACACACCTGTGCAGGTGTGTTTGATTTCGTCCCACTAACAGCTCAGTGCCTCCGGTGAGTGCAAAGACTCTGGAGGGTTAAAAGCTGCATTTTTGAACTCTATGAAACATTGTTAGACATAAGCAGGAGCTGCAAAGAAAACAAGAAAACTAAGAGTTTGGAAAGTTTGGTTTCAGCTCAATTTAAATAATAAAAATAAAACCGTTGTTTTACGTTTGCTGAAAAATCATCTGGAGATTTCTTTCCTTTCTGCAAACAATGTTCAATTTCAGTGTCTGTTCTCCCAGCAAGTACAATCAAAGTGAGGTTTTCAACATAAATTATTTATCCCACTTCATTTCACTGTGTGTCCACGTTGCGTCCATATTGTGCAGCTGGCTCGTATTGATCCTGTTTGTCGAGCAGAGATCTGAGTCACACAAGAGAAGCCGGTGTTCTTCCAGCCAGGCTGCTGCTGACCCTCACCTGTGTGCCTGCAGGCTCTGCTCTGACTGAAGGGAATCACATCGTGGACACTCTGAAATGAGATTCCTCGGGAAAGTGGCTGCTCTCGGTGTCGGTGAGGGGCTGAGGGGCTCACTGATCCGGCACGACCTCCGCATCGAGTTGCTGCCTGGCCAGATGAAGAGGAGCTGCTGGACTTGTTTCAGATAATTTACCCAACAAACAGATATTTCTCCTGACAGAGGGTTTGCTGCAGCCCAGCTCCATCCAGTGCCAAGGTAATGGTGGTTTGCAGAGCTCCACAAATGCCCACAAACCTCTGACTTGGAACAGTTTTATCGCAGGAAATGATGTTTTTGAGGTTATGGAATCCACTGTAGCTGTTTACACTGCAGCAGTACGGACGGATCTGTCGTTATTTTGTGTCTGTTTCTGATGTTTTTCATCTGTTTGTGCTAATCTTGTGTGTCCTTGTGGTTATTTTGCATCTGTTTATGGCCATTTCACATCTATTTGTGGCTGCTTTGTCTTGTTGTGGTTATTTTGTCTGTTTATACTCATTTTATATCTATTTGTGGTCATTTTACATCTGTCTGTGGCTGTTTTGCTTTTATTTTCGCTCATTTTGTTTATTTTTGTGGTCATTTTGCATGTTTCAGTGGTCAGTTTGTTTCTGTGCGTGGTTATTTTTCTCCTGTTGGTGGTCGGTTTGTCTTCTTTGTGGTTAATTTAAGTCTGTTTATTGTCATTGCTTCTTCTTGTGGTCATTTTATGTGTGTATTTGTCGTTGTTTTGCTTCTTTTGAGGTTATTTTATATCAGTTTTTGCCCATTTTGTAGCTTTTTGGGATTGTTTTACTGTGTTTTGTGGTCAGTTTGCATGCCCCTATCTTATTTTGCCTTTTCGTTGCTCCTCCAACAACAAACAACATTCTGCAGAAAACAGAGTTTCTGATCAAGAAAGCCTCTGAGATCTTGGGCCCCTGAGCCAGCGCTCGTCGACCTCTCTGGAAATGAATATGACCAAAATTAAAGTTTTAGTTTTATCCTCCTTCACCTGTCAGCTGGCAGGGGACACCCTGGACAGGTCACCAGTCTATCACGGGGCTACACTTAGAGACAGACAACCAAGCACACTCACATTCACACCTACGGACAATTTAGAATCACCAATTAACCTCAACATGTTTTTGGACTGTGTGGGAGGAACCCGGAGAGAACCCACGCTGCACAAGGAGAACATGCAAACTCCACACAGAAAGAGATGCGAACCGGCGACCTTCTTGCTGCGAGGCAACGATGCTAACCACTGCTCCACTGTGCAGCCCCCTTCTAAAACATAATCTGTCTAATTTTTGTTCACTCTGCTCCTCCCTGTACTACAGAAACCAGCACAATTCTTCCCTCTAATTTGTTGCAAATGTTCAACATAAATACAAATATTCAAGTGATGAACACTTGAACTTGATTAACTGTACTCAGTTACACCTCTACTGAACCACTTCAGGGCCCCTAAACCCACATGTGGGATTTCAATTAAAGAAAACAATGTGTGACTTTAACCTACAGTCCAACACGACTTAATAAACAACATAAAAACACGTGAAGCTCGGTGGTTTTCCTCACATCGGGTCCTGGATGCTGCTGCACGCGATGAGCCGGTGGTTTTGATGAGCTTGTTGAAAGAGTCAGACGTGTTTCTGACAACAACACTCTCACATGTGGAGGACGCTTGAAAATAGCATCCAGGAAACTTGTAAAAGGTTAACCATCACTGTATGCAAATTCTGGCAAATTGCAGTGAATTAGACGACCATTATTTTAACCTTGGAGAAGAAACGTTCTTCCTACACAGATGCTTGTCAGATGAATGCCGACTCATACTGGCCTCATTATTATATTACAATCAGCGCAGGCCTCCTACTGTATCGTGAGCTTCTTGTATCTTCTGTGGCATCAGGGACAGCACGTATGTATTCTCTCTTAATTGTGAGCTTGTGTTAATTGCTCAGGAAAATACAAAGAGAATCCTGTAAAATATGACACCATCATTCAGGGGAAAAAAGAAAGAAAGAAATATGCACATATCTCATGTCTTTATTATTGTGTTTGGGATTTTGGGAGGGATTCTGTTTTTTTTCCCCTAAGAACATTTTCTCAAATGTCAGTTTGTAGATATTTTTACCCCCAATATTCTCCTCTTGTCCTGAAGGAAACAGCAGCACTATTCAAGGATGTAAAATTGAGTTTACATAAGGTATCAGGTCAAGTATAAAATAAATTAAACTCTTAAGGTGTAGAAATGTGGCTGTTTCCAGGTACTTTTTGGTGTATTTTTTGTATTTTTTCCCCTCTTTTTTTCAGTTTCTACTTGTTTGAGTGACTATTGTGATTTTTGCCTTTTCTTTAATGGAACGGTTTGAATACATTTGAGGACGACTGTAACCAGAAAGTTTGATCGCCAAGATGCAGCAATTATTAAATAAGAAATAAAGAATTAGGACATGCCATTGTAGTAAAAACATGTACACACATTTAAAAAAAACAAAAACAAAACAAAACTTCAGTGGCATATTTTAAGCTGTAAAATATCACCTACTTTTTTGAGAATGTTTTTATTTTTCTTTTTTAATAGAAGCTAGTTTGTTTCTTTTGATGAATAATAATAATAATAATAACAATAACAACAACAATAATAATTATTATTATGTAATGTATTACTATGTATTATGTATAATAATAATAATATTATTATTATTATTATTATTATTATTTGTTATTGTTATTATAGTTGTAGTATCATAATTATTATTATGATACTACTCCTATTACTACTAATAATAATAATAGTAATAATAACAACAACAACAACAACAACAATAATAATAATAAGGGATGATATGTAAGAAAACAAGCAAAAATTAAAACTAACATGGTCAACACATGATGAAGCAGAGCGACCTGCTCCAGCGGTCTGTCTCTGTCTCAGGTATGTGTCACACCTGTCCAGCTGCTCCAGCTCAGTTCGCTCCTTAAACTTTTATTAGCAGCTCTTTGCCGGGCGCAGAGGAGACAAGAAGCAGGCTGATGCAGACAGAGCAGGACTGTTTAAAGGGTAACTCAATTAGTTGTGTTAGTCGTGTGGTAATTTAATGAACACTGGGGTGAACGAAGCATCACTGCTGTTCATGCTAACGGTCTTTAGCTAGCCGTGCAGCTAGCTCCGTAGCTTTAGCCTGTTAACAATAGTTAAATTTCACGCTGGATATTATTTTCTTTAGAAATGTTGCTTCCCAGTGTGTGTGTAGAAAGACACAGATCCAGGTTGCCACATTATGTTCGTTATTTACTTAAAAACAACAACAAACACACATTTTTTTGTTTATTTATTTATTTTTAGCTGCAGCGCCTCCTAGCTTAGCTGGAGACACCAGAACCAATTAAAAGTACTTATTCCCAAATGACACGTGTTTCCTTTGAAGAAAATGTGTGACTGTCACCTGTTTTGGACGAGCCTCAAAGTGTGACAGTTTAATTTCAAGCAGAGGTTTTACAAGGTGTCCGATAATGGACGCAGGGCAGATTTGTCTGGATGTCTCAGAGTATTGATGTAATTTTTGTGCACAATTGGCAAAATTATTTTAAGATGATGGTAAAAAAAAAAAAAAAATCCCCCCAAAAACTTCATGATGTCAGAAAAGAGGACCGTTTGCATGTTGTGATAATATTTGTTTTGGTCAGTGTGTTTATTTTTACTGTTCTATAATAACTATAGCTGTGAAAAACTGTGATTTGCATTTTACCAACCAAATAATTACCTCTGACATCATCAACAGGTTGGTCTGTAATGGAAACACATGTCTAATGCTGTTCTTAAGTTACAAACTGGGACGCTGTTATAGGTGAAAGACTTATGCCTTTTTTTTAAAAGAGTATTTAGACTGTTTTTCTTTTGTAAAACTTAGAGCAGTGTGCTTTGGAAACAGGTCACATGTATGAAAAGGTTCTACTGACAGCATTGTAGGAACAGTAGAAGTTCTAGTAAAGGTTTTTGAAGAACTTGTGCTGCAACCTGATAACTTGTTTAAAACAAACAAACTGCAGGTGGTTTATTAGTGGAGCTGCAACTAGTGATTATCTTCATTCTGCAGGTTCTTTTTTTAATCCATTGAAATGTTTTTTTTGTCAGTAAATATTGAAAACTGCTTTTACAGTTTAGTGCAAACTGACGTCTTTAAAAAACTGCTTTCTGTTTTGACCATTAAGAAGATCAGACGGTTTTATTTTTGTTTGAAAATTCTTGAAATACGACTTTAATTATTTTTAATTGACTAATAGATGTGCGGGCTAATATTTGCAGCTCTAATATTATAATTACTCTAATTTACTAAATAAAATATTGTATGTTATGCATTTAAACTTACCTAAATGTTAGAATCGTCTAAATCTGAGCAGAATAACGGCACAATTGCAGCCAAAGATGCATACATTATGATGATGGCTCATCCTTTGTTTACTTCGTCTCACACGTTCTCATAAAACAGAACATTATGTCGAGGCGTACCCTTTCAGTAAACTTGTATTTCTTGCAATAAATCATAAAAGTGGCTGGAGTGGTAAACACATGGGTTATTGTATGGATGAAGCACAGCCATCAACTCTAAATGAGACAACGATTGCATTTGTGATAATTGTGCTCCTTCACTGCAGTTAACCAGAATGAACGCGCCTGCATTCTGCACATATACACAAAACAATCATGTATTATTGGTTTGTGGGCTTATTAAAAACCCTCCTCTCCTCCGTGTGCTTTAGGAGCGAGTCAAGCGGAGTGGTTTTTCATGAAAGCCAAAGTCGCCCTGGCAGTGGCTGTAATAAAAAACAAGCCCCCGGGTATGAGTGGCCGAGCGTACGCTGAGGCTCTGGCCTGCAAGCTGAAGAGCCAGGATGAAAGCTGGAAGGAAAAAGCCCAGGGGCTGCAGCAGGAGGTGCTGAGGCTGCGGCAGGAGATGCTCATCGCCAGGGCGACATCAAACACAAAGAGCAGCACGGAGGCAGGAGGTAGGCCTTCCTTCATGCTCCTAAAAATAAGTGTAATATTAGCCTCATAAGGAGAGAGCACCTGTGATTGTGTTACCTCCAGTCAGAGCTGTTGAGGAGAACTGCTTCACCCTGAGAAGCCCGCCATTAAATATAATTCATACCCTGACCTGCAGAGTCGTCGTGTCTGCTAACAGGTCGGCTCCAGTCAAAAATGTGCAGACGCTTAATAAAGATACTCGGTGTGTCTTTGCTGATGTCCTTAGTCTGAGGGGAGCTTATCTGGTTATCTGGAGGCCAGGAACAGTCTGACACGAGTCTCAGGAGGAGCTCGGACACTGTGGACCACGCTGAGGTTATCACACAAAGCTGCTAATGATTACATATAGAATGCTCTTGACTGCTGATCGGCCGCTTATACTTGACTCCTTTAGATCAGGCTGGGGTGCAAACAGGAGAGTTACTGTTGTGTTGAATGAGACTGATGCAGGAGTGTCATGATGAAAACATCCAGACACTACGGCATGTATGATAAGTTTGACATCACTACACTGAGCTGCTTGGGCTTATTAGCCCATATTTTTGTTCATTTACTTATTATAATAATAATAATTCATTTTATTTGTACAGCGCTTTTCAAAGACTCGGATAAAAGAACAATAAAAGCAACTAATACAAAAGTAGACTACGCAGAAACACAAGCAAACAGATAAAAGCAACACAAGATATCAAGATAAAGGATTAAGTGAGACAAGCAGAGCGAAACAGGTGAGTTTTTAGTTTGGATTTGAACATTACTGGGTCTGTGGTGTCACAGATGTGTTGTGGGGGCGGCGACAGAGAAGGCCCTATCCCCCAGGTCTGGTGCTTGGTCCTGGGAAGGATCAGGAGGTTGGCATTAGCGGAGCAGAGGGTCCATGAAGGTGTGTAAGGGTGGAGCATGTCTTTGAGGTGAGAGGAGGCCTGGTTATGGAGGCTTAATGGGTGAGTAGGAGGATTTAGAATTTGTATGGGATGGGAAGCCAGTGAAGGTTCTGAAGGACAGGGGTGATGTGGTCTCGGCAACGGGTGTGGGTGAGGAGGCGGGCGGCAGAGTTTTGGATGTACTGGAGTCTGTTGAGAATGTTGGTGGTGGAACCAAAAATTATGAATCACTCAGTCTAAAAATGTCATTCAATAGTAAAAACTGGCGCCTTCAAAGGACAGCAGTGTTTCAGAGAGTAACATGTTGATCTAAATGTCTCATGTGTGGGACAATCATGCTGTTTATTGTGTCTAATGTGTTCACGTCCATCACGTTTTACATTTAATTAAAGGTTGACTTGAAGCTTGACGATAAAAAATTAGATCAGAAGTCTCTCAGAAAAGCTGCAGTCAGATGTTTTCTCCAAATCATTCATCTCTTCTTTGCTCTCAGTGTGTAAAACGTGCAAACAAAAAACTACCCTCTGGATTTATTTACCTTCGTATTGCACCTCTGTAGAGAGCTGGGTTAATTAAATGAGAGACGGTCAACAGTCCATCTGGGGCGGCTGTGGCTCAGGTGGTGGAGCGGGTCGGTCCATGATCGGAGGTCGGCGGTTCAATTCTGCCCTGTGTTGTGTCCTTGGGCAAGACACTTCACCCACCTTGCCTGGTGTGAATGGATTGTTTGAGGTGGTGGTCAGAGGGGCTGTAGGGGCAGAATGGCAGCCACGCCTCTGTCAGTCTGCCCCAGGGCAGCTGTGGCTACAATTGTAGCTACCACCACCACAATGAATGTGTGTGAATGAATAAGTGATGGTGTAAGCGCTTTGAGTTACCCCCTGAGTAAGAAAAGCACCATATAAATCTAATCAATTATTATTATTATTATTATTATTATTGTTATTATTAACAGAAAAATGTAACAGAAACACTTTCTCTGAAAAATCTTAAATTTTAGATGCGTTCTTCAGAGTGTTTCAGTTTCCTACAGCTCTGATGGGAGGAGTTGGACTGAGAGATGATGGAGATGCGATGAGGACACTGGTGGTTTACTGTTGTTTTAATCTTCAGGTTTTACAAAGCAGTGATTTTAATTGAATCAGAAACAAACTTTGGTAAAATGTTGATCTTTAGCTACTCGGTTTGCTTGCCTGCATCTTCTAACTGGTTAACCCACCTGTCCAGTCATCCATTCACTATCTGCTGTGTAGCAAGGCCCAAGTACTATTTAATGATTAATTATAGATATGATCAGGTAGATGTTTTTTTGTATATGGAGCTGGAATGTCAGTAACTTCATGTACTTTGTTTATAAATAACTCCAGGATATATCAACCTGACTGCCTGATATTGATGTCTTTCCTGCCTTGACAAGGGTATTAAATTGTGTTTTGTTATTACTATTATTAAGATGAAAAATGTTCTGAGCAATCTTAAACCTGACACGGTGACATGCCCAATTTGTGCTTTCTGTATCTTTAGTATTTTGAGGTTCTCCTCTCACTTATCATCCCTCTTTTCCTTTGACACTGAATATAAAACGGAGCCACTTGCTGGTTCCTGTCAACCGATTTGAATGATGCTACATTTATGTCTTATGAGTTGGACGCCTGTGTCCCAGTACAGGACACATCTCTTTGAAAAAACACTGCATATAAAAGCACATGCAGCTGTAAATAGTGTGGCCTTCTCGACAGCGTTTGTTTCAAGGAAAACATTTGTCCTCCTAAATCCAAAACCTCAAGGGCTGAGGGGAGACGTTTAGGGGTGTAAGCTCTGAAAGTGAAGATCAAGGCCCATCTGCTCTCAGAGTTATGAGCTGCAAGCCGTGTAATTTTGATTTTAGAAGCCTTTTGATTTGTTTGTAGAGACTTAAAATACAACAAAGTATCATGGCGCCCTTTAAAGAGTGAGAAAACCGTCTTTATGTGGGCTTTCACGTCTGCCTGTCTGAAAAGCATTTTAAATTGAATTTGAGGAGCACATTTGTATCAAAATCAGTCATTTTCCCGGGACACAGCGGTGCGCTGCTCTGAATGTGGCCTCAGTGTTGTCCTTTATCTGTGGCGCCATAGCAACAACAGTCGTCTTGCAGAGACCGTCAGTCACAGCGGAAACGTGAGAGTATAATTTAGCACAGTTTTCCTCTAAAATGAGAGGTGTGGTCCTAATGTGTTGATGCGTTTGATTTTGTGTGCAAATAATAGTAATTTCAATTTTCGAACAGGGCCTGCTTGCTATGCAAAGTGGCCTGAGATGACATATTGTGCGATTTGGTGCAATATAGAGAGAATAAAACTGAATTGAAAATCGCAGACTGAAATATAAACTCTCTGGTTTATGAGGCACCGCACGCGTTTCAAGGTCGATAGTAAAATTCTTGTAAAAACAGCTCCCTCGCAGGGTGCCCCAACAACAGGGGTCATATTTTATGGCGTAATTACACGATTAGCATTATTTATATGATAACCCAAAGCCCGTTTATGATTAAGGGTTAGGCTCTGATGTGTCTTCAGTTCTGACCTTCACTCACCTTTTGACTTGAAGGAGCCAAAAGCTGCAGTCGTGATAAGTGAAACCATCCAGACCATAAGTGTTTGGAGCGTTGCTCTTTGCTTTTAGCTTTATGCTTTTCAGTCACTTGGGATAGGCTCCAGCCCCCCCGCGACCCTCGTGAGGATTAAGCGGTGTATAGATGGCTTTTCAGTCAGTTTAGAAGACAATAAAGGATGATTAAAGTGACAAGTTTCACTCTAATGTGAGCAGATTTCAATCAGTAAGACAAAGCTGGCTTATAAGAAATCTAGTAGAAAGTTTAGCTCTAAATTCTTCACTTAAATCTGTGTAATTACTAATGAATAGAATAGAATAGAACTTTATTGATCCCTTTGGTGTAAACCTCAGGGAAATTGTTGTAATGCTGTAGGGGTTAGCCTTAATATTGATCTCAGTGAGGTTATGTTCTGTAATTATAATACTGTAAGGTCTTAGCTGCAATATTACATTAGTTATGATCCATAATTAACTACACTGAAGGGTCTCAGCCTTAATATGTATAGTAGTCAAGTAAAGTGGTATTTTATATCATTTGTAGGGTTTTTATGCATATAATGTAAATTTCTCAGGTAAAATCACACCAACAACAACACTATAGGGCCTTACTCTCAAGTTATTTTATAATGATGATTATAGCCTTTTTTTGTTCTTGTTAGTCAGCACTTCTGCACAATGGCTGCAATTTGAAAAGTGTTATATTCAATGGTGCATTAACTTGACTATTAAAAGAATTCAGAGACTCAAAACTAAGCTGTAACTGTCCAATTATGTCAAAACCTGTGCACTCTGTATGGTCCCATAATATGGTAGCTGTTTTTAGTGTAATGAGGTAACTGATTTGGCCATATTCTTTATTTATTTTTGTTAGCATTAGCTTTCTGTCAGTCATTCTCATTTTGTCTTTGTCCATCCATCCATCCATCCATCCATCCATCCATCCATCCATCCATCCATCATCTATACACCACTTAATCCTCACTAGGGTCGTGGGGGGCTGGAGTCTATCCTAGTTGACTCAGGGTGAAGCCAGGGGACACCCTGGACAGGTCACCAGTCTATCACAGGGCTACACTTAGAGACAGACAACCAAGCACACTCACATTCACACCTACGGACAATTTAGAATCACCAATTAACCTCAACATGTGTTTGGACTGTGGAAGGAAGCTGGAGAACCCAGAGAGAACCCACGCTGCACGGGGAGAACATGCAAACTCCACACAGAAAGATCCCAGGTGTCCTCACCGGTGACCTTCTTGCTGCGAGGAAATGGTGCTAACCACCGAGCCACCTTGCAGCCCCCTTTGTCTTTGTGTGGCTCTTATATCGGAATTTGGTTTATTTATTTTTTTGGTAACACAGATTTATCTGCAACACGTTTAACTGATATTAAATTATGTTTTGTTGTTTCCAGCTTTTCAAGTGGGAATTTGATGCTTTTCTTTAATGCACATTATAGTAAACTGGGTACAGTCAGGCTTTGGGTTGTTGGGTTGTGGAGAGACAGGTGAGGATGTTAACCTGAGCTGGGAGACTAATAAAATGTGTGAGTAATGGGGAAAATGCTCTGGGGACATGGAGAAAATAATTCCCTTATTATTAGATAATTAAAATAAAGTAAATGAAATAATTGTTCCATATGGTCATAAACAATGGCCCTAAACAATACAGAACAAGCTCTGCTATGGACTAATTTGGGACTATTTTTTCCATGTAAAATCTTCCAGATGATGACAACAAAATGGACGACACTTCGCAGGATCTGTTTGGTCCAGAGAGTCAAGTATGGAGTGTAGAACCAGACTCAGAGACTCCTGAACTGTTGCTGCAGCCTCCTGAGCCCACCATCCCTTTGCCTCGGCCGCTGCCTCCCTCCAGTCTCCACGGAAATCCTCGAGAAGACGCACTATCTCCTCCTGTGCAGTTCCTCCAGTCGCTGTGTGCTCTGCATCGAGTAGAAGACGACAACAGAGGTCTGGAGGCTCTGTGGTTCATCCCTGGTGACGACGCGGGATCTGTGTTGGCGGACACTGTGTGCCAGCTCCTTGACTCCGTGGTGACGGCCTTCAAGGATCCCCCTGCACCGGGACCACGCGACCTCGTCCTGCAGGCCTGTCAGGCCGCAGCCCGAGCGATGGACCTCTTCTGTTCTCAGAGGCTGCCGTCTGTTGAGTTCATGAGACGTGTGGAAGAGCCACTGAGGGAGTTGACTCGGATGCTGCTGCACGGGAGTCAACCCAGCAGGGTGAGTAATGGATCTATGGGGAGCACAAGATATTTGATAATTACTGTAGCAACGTTTGCCACTTGTAGCTGGAAAATTGTCTCCTCGGTTAGCGAGGAAAGATGGATACAAACAAATACGGTGTCCGTGCCAGCGATAAATGCATCATGATACTGTGGTTCATTTCAGTTGATATTAATAATTGTTCATTATTTTTGATGGCCAGTTTTTAATACTGTGAGCAGAGAAAATATTTATGTTGAACTTAACCACCTTAGCCTATTTCAAGGTAAGGGGATGACTGTGGCTCAGGTGGTAGAGCGGGTTGGCAAGGTTGGCGGTTTGATCCCCGGTCCCCCCCACATGCTGAAGTGTCCTTGGGCAAGACACTGAACCAATGGCATTAGTGCCTTGCATGGCAGCTCTGTCACCACTGGTGTGTGAATGTGTGTGAATGAGTGAATGCGAAACACATTTAAAGCGCCTTGGGTACCGCTAAGGTAGAAAAAGGCGCTATATAAGTGCAGACCATTTACCATTTACACGGGTGATAACTGTCGTGAAAACCACACACTGGTAAATACATATACATGTGTAAATAAAAATAAATAGTAATAAAAGATGCGCAGAAAGAGCAATCAGAATAAAACTGCCACACGCTGTTGAAGCTTAGAGTTCAAGGCTGGCCTGGACTGGATGTTCCCAGACAGGGACCCTTCACTGGCTTCTGCATGCACCCTGACATCAAATCCATCAACCCTCCGAGCAGCTGGCAGGAGCGCTTTGCTTATGTGGAGGTAATGGAGGACGCAGGGTTGCAGGTGTTTCTAACCAGTTAACCTGATCTTGCAAAGGAAAACCACCAACCAGGCAGATAATTAGTCTGTCACTAGCCTGAAGACATATTTGCAGGTATGTAAATGTGGCTTGACGCACAGTGAAGTCACACTGGGTAGAGTGATCCTCCTGAGAATGTCGTACGCACAGCACACAAATTAAGTATGCAGCGAAACCTGACATGAATAGAAGCAGGAAATCATAACAGACATCACATTCAGGCTGCATTTGATTTACATAGAGTTTGTATTCTCACAAAATCTTTCTGCTCTCTATGTGAATTAGTAACGCTGCAAATTTCTGTAGGATTAAAAACACCATCTTGGTTTAAATTATTTCTCACCACTGGACATCCCTCGGGTAATATTTAAAGTAGAGTTTAGGGCGCTTATGTTACAGTTGATGTAATTGCGGTTCTGCATTAACTTAACCCAAAACAAGTTTTAATGCTGCCCATTTTCCCATGAGCATCATTAAAGTTTCATAATGTTTTATTTTATCAAGGCAGGACAGGATTATTGGTGTTTCTGTGAAAATATGTGTTGACTCAGCTTAATGTATTCTTCAGCAGCAGCTGAGAGCTTGTAGGCAAATGTAAAAATTGATCATTAGTCCACTGAAAACAAAATAGTCTGAGTGTAAAAAGCTTTTCCTGCAGAACCATCGCTGTGATGCATTTAAAGCAGCTTGCAACAAGATGAAAATACTGCTGGCTCTGCAACTAATGATTATTCTCAATCTGTTAAAATCCCTCAGTGATTGTGTCTTCTATAGACAAAACAAAAAACGCAAAGATATTTAATTTACACAGATACAAAGCAGCAAAACCTTACATTGGAGAAGCTGGAACCATGTTTGACATTTGTAGCAAACCAGTTCTGTCACGCTTTGTAGCGCTCAACATGCTGTAATAAATGAATGGGGACGTAGCAATGGAGACACTTAGTATTCAGAGTGTTTAAGGGTGTGCCTTTGTTTTCACTGTCTCAAAACAAACAAGAATAATGATGCTTTCAGACACAAGATGGTTTGTGCTGCACTCAGCGCTGGGTTCAACACGCTGCTCGTGGGACTCATGGAAGACCGAGTGAAATAGGAAGAATTCAACGGGGACTAAATGTCACAGAGTCAATAAGTTTCTGTAAGAAAAAAAAAATCTCCACCTCATTACCTCAAATAATAAACCGTAACTCTTGGAATTCCCAAATCTACCACTGGTTTTAAAGACATGTTATCTTTATTTTTTTTTAAAAATGCTAAAATTACCCTGTTGGATTGAACCGGAAAATTCATAGATAGAAAGAATCGTCAGGTTTGTGAGGTTTCCTAGGTCAGTGAACTAATCATGGCGAGTGTGTACCGTAATTTCCGGACTATTGAGCACACCTGAATATAAGCCGCACCCACTAACCTCAAAAAGAAAAGTTTTGTACATATATAGCATCACAACCTCCAACTTTACCGGGATGTTTGACAGGATTTTTAAATTATTTTTTTTCAACTAAACCCCTCAACATCATCACCTTTTAACGGACTGTGCTCTCTCATCCGTCTTTGTGAATGTCACATCGCCTTGACCGCCTCCCGTTTTGGCCATAGACTGCTTTTCTTTAGCAAACTACAAACAATACAGCTCTGTGACAGCTGTTATAAAATTTCTGTTGTGAAACGTGAAGCCTGTCTTTCGGTTAAAGGGCATTTATTATGTTAATGATGGAAACTCGCAGATGAGCGCTCACTCATGAAACTGTGGAATTCCTCAGGCTGAAATAAACAATTTATGACAGATTTGTGCCGTTAGGGGAATTTACTGTATTAAATTACTGGGGATAGTTGTACCAGCAAGCCTTCCCATTGTTTCGGCAACAACACAGAGCATTGTTTAATGTTGTGGCCAGTAGCAATGTGGCAAATTGGGTCGCTAATTTTATTCTAAAACAGAATTAAATGTAATCCAGGTAACTACACGTGCATATTTGATTATTTTTCCATATTTATTGTTGTATATTTTGTATATGTGAGCTTGACATGGCATTGAGAATATTTCCATTCCAATCAGGCAGTGCAGTATTAAACATTACTATTATCTTTAACCTTTCAAAGCTCAGAGTCCATAAAGGGTATAACTGCTGTCACAGCCATCGTAAAAGTCATTCACCGGCTTGCACATGCTACCGTCATGACAGGGTCTGGCAGCTGGGAAATGGAGGTGAAAGTGAGCCTGAGCTGACAAAGATGAAGTTATCCCATCTGGCTCTTACTGAACGCTCAGAACGGCTCACCAAACTAAGACGGCTGCAGGCAATTTCCTCTTTACAGCGAGTTTCCTCTCCGCTTGTCGAGGCTAATAGAGAAGAAAGTGGAGTTTTCTTGTGAAGCGGCACAGAAATGTTTAGCAGTTGTCAGTTAAATGAATGATAGCGGAGAGGAGGGCGTAAAATAATTTAAATTTAATGAGGACTTCGATTAACGCAGCACCAATCCGTCTCCGGGCAACTTAAATGCCCCCACAGAGGCAGGTTGTCTTCCAGCCTTGTAGGACAGGTTGCTCTGAGGCACACAACCAATCACCATCACACAGAGTGAATTAAAATGGCAGGAATGCCATTAGCTGGACTTGGGATTGTTATGGAAGGTAAGCAGAAGTACTTCATCATTTTAAAAGGAACATGTAATAGTTGCATATTCACAAGTGGTGAATAAAACATTTGAATTGTTGGAGCTGCACTCCATTCAGAGTTCAGACTCAGAAAACGGAAAACACATTTAACTAAGTGTTTCACAGTCTGGTTTTCATAGAGCCGACCCTTATTTTGTTGGTAGAGGGGTTGATTCAGGGACTTGCTAAAATATTTATTAGTTTACGGTTGAGTCTAAACGTTGAAGAGACAGTTATTTAGTCTGGCAGACAAAACAGTACACGTTTTTTTTGTCCGTCTCGTTGGAAAGTCGTGTTTCTCTCTTCATGTCAGGAAATTGGCATTAAAGCCTTCAACTCATAGAAGAACAGATAGTCGTTATACGGCACCGCCAAAGAACCAGACAGCATTAAAAGGTGTAAAGTAGTCACAATATAGGACAGAGAATGGTGTAGTGCCAAGGGCATAGGTTTGGTTTCAGAGGTGGGGTGCTTTCTAAATTCTTAGCACTTAAATTCACATTTAGTTTTTGTCAAGCTCTGTGATAAATGTTGTTTTTGTGTCTTTACTAAGTGCTTTCCTTCTCTGCTGTGTCTGTGATTGATGGCCAAGACAATTCTGGTACTTTGCTTATATTTTGGTACCCCTGAGTGTACGAGCGTACCTCTCAGGCTGCAAGTACACCTCTACCAATCAGTGGCTAACATATTTACTTCCAGGCAGCAAGAACACCTGATGCTACTCATAAAGCTCGTTTGTTGTGCGTCGTGTGCAGTGGAATAAGGCGTTCTGTGTCACATAGACCTCAGTGATTTTATCTACACGGGCTGTTTACTGTGTACAGAGTTTTTTGAGTGGAGCGCTTTTTAAGAATCGGTATCGCTGTTGATCGTGTTCATAGACCTGTGTAAAACCAAACATGTGATGCTATGGGTGTTGGTGTGCAGAGCAGAGCTTCGGCGACCTGCTCTATGGACATTAGAAAGTGTTCTGTCAGATTACTGGCAGATGGAAAAGGATCACTGAATATGCGTGTAGTGAGTGATCCAGCCTTCAGTTAGTTTCTCCCATGTGTTTCTGATGGTGCTGGAAACTGTTGATAGTGAAGATGATGTAAAAGAAGTTGAAGAAAGCCTCACTTTTCTTGTCCTTTTCCAGTCCAGCAAGCAAGCAGTTTAGCAAAGTTGTCTCTGCCACAAACCTACTCAGAGCGATCGCTGTTGTTTCTCTCAGTATCGTGTGTTGCTCGGTATCACAAAGTCAGTAAAAGTATGCAAACAAAGCTACTCTGTGTCATGGCGGTCAAGAGATATGCTTTTTTTTTTAGCGTCCAAATGTGTAGAAATTCTTATTGATCAAGGAAACTGATACTTGGAATTGATTTATATTTTCAGTAAGAATGAAAGTCGTGTTGTCAAAATTTAGAAAAGCACAATCACAAGACAAAAATCTGTTAGAATGCTTTTGGTTGTTTGTGTTTTATCTGTTTACACGTTTCCTTCAGTGTTTACTGGCTCATACCTGGGATGTGTGACCAGTTACACA